GACAATGTCTTTTTTATTTTTTTAACAAAAGGCTCGAAAGGTAAGCCACCTTAGCTGACAGGGGAATGGGTACCTCTGGAGACCAGCTAACATGTCTGTGCCAGGCAACTTAGGGGAAAAAGTGTTAGCACATGGAGACAGCAGCACACCTCCCCTACCCCTGACCAAGTCCAGAACAATCATTTTTATCAAGTTTTATTCAACATGAAAGAAAGGGAGTACTGTTCATTTTCATTCACCAACTTACATACAGGTGGGTGCAGAATAAAAAGACTTCTATCAGTTTCCTGCTCCATAACATTCTGGCATCTGACACTTGAATAGTGCAAAGGAAAGGAAGATAATGGGGATAAAACAAAAGATATTAAAAAAAAAGAATCAATAATGCTTATACATGAGTCACAAAACTAGAATAGTTGTCTATGTGCTATCTGTAGAAATTTACTGATAGTATTAACAATAAGTGGGGCCTGGAATAAGTCTGAGTCACCCCTGTAGAATCTTACCAGTATCTACCCTTCTCTGCTGGAAGAATGGCAAAAAGTAATGACGATTTAAGCAAAGGACTAGAGACAGAGTAGAATCCCACTGACTGGGGAATGGAGGAAAAAGCTGTTATCTGTGCATGTAAAGGCATTTTACTGCACCATAAAACAAACTGACAAGTGTGACAAACAAAGAGATACTCAGGAAGACTTAGATGAAATGATGCAGGTGACATAAGTACGGCTAAGGGAGCAAATTACATGATGGTCACAACAACATGCAGGAAAAACAACAATGAGAGTCTTCAGAAGTCTAATCAATGCAGTCAACAGACAACTGATGGTGATGCATTCCCGCCACCTCTCAGCCAAGGGGCGATGGACTAGATGAGCAGAATGGGGCCTACGTTTTCAGACAGAGATGACGTGTTGATGATTTGTTCTGACTATGCTTATTTGTTATAAAGGGCAATTAATTGTGGAGGAAGAAGAAGTCGGTGGAAAGTAATAGTGCCATAAAAAAAATAGAAAAAACCATCAACAATATATATGTGAGTGGTTATATATGTGTGTGTATATACACACATATATTTAATAAAATATAATACTTAACATAAAATAATAGAATTAATAAATGAAATAATGAATTATTATATATTTTAGATATAACCATATATAGCCAAATATATATTTATATTATAATACAGCTATTAAATAAAGAAATAATAAAATATAATAAAAATAAAAATACTAGATTTGACCAACCAAGAAATTTCCCTAATATGCCTCAAAAGGAAAGCCCCTTCAGATGAACTCACCTATAAAACAGAAACAATCAGCAGAATGGATTGCAAAGCAATGTGGCTTACAGGAAACACACTCAAAACACAAAGAGATTCAGTTAAAATGAGGGGCTGAAGCTAAATATTTTCTGCTTCAGTTGAAGTGAAAAAGGCATGGGTAGTCATCATGATCAGAGACAAAACAAAAACAAAAACAGACCTAACTAAAAGAGATAATCAGGGAAACTACATTTTGCTAAAAGACGATGAAGTAATAGCAATACTAAACATATATGCACCAAATGGCACAGCAACCAAAATCTTAAAGGAAAAATTATATGAATTATAGGTGGAAATAGACAATAAAACTATACTAGTGGGGGAACTCAATTTACCCCTCTCAGAACTAGATAAATCTAACCATAAAATAAATAAGAAAGAAGTTAAAGAGATGAATAGAATTTTAGAAAAGTTAAATATGATAGATCCCTGGAAAAAAGTGAATGGGAATAGAAAGGAACATACTTTTTTCTCAGCTGTACATGGCTCCCTGAGAAAAAAATCCCCACTACCAGACAGATGTATAGGTAAATTCTATCAGACATTTAAATAACGACTAATACCAATACTGTTATAAACTATTTGAAAAAAATAGGTAACAGGGGCACCTAGGTGGTGCAGTGGATACAGCACCGGCCCTGAAGTCAGGGTTCAAATCCAGCCTCAGACCAAACACTTGACACTTATTAGCCACGTGACCCTGGGCAAGTCACTTAACCCCAACTGCCTAAAAAAAATCCCAAAAAATAGGTAAGAAAAGATTCTACTAAATTACGTCTATGATACAAATATAGTTTTGATACCTAAACCAGGGGGAGCAAAACAGAGAAAGAAAATTTCCCTAATGAATGCTGATCCAAAAATTTTAAATAAAATACTGGCAAGGTATTCAGCAACATATCACAAAGATCATATACTATGACCAGGTGGGATTTTTACCAGGAATGCAAGGCTGGTTAAATATTAGGAAAACTATAAGCATAACTCACCATGTCAATTAAAATAAAAATCATATGATTATATCAGCAGATGCAGAAAAAGTTTTTGACAAATTTTTTGACAATTCCTATTGAAATCACTAGGGAACATACAAATAAATGGAGCTTTTCTTAAAATGATAAGTAGTATCTATCTAAAATCAAGAGTAAGAATTATCTATAATGGGGATAAACTAGAAGCCCTCCCAATAAGATCAGGGATAAAGCAAGGATGTTCATTATCTGTACTATTATTCAATATTGTATTAAAAATGCTAGTTATAGCAATGACCAAAAAAAGAAATTAAAGGAATAAGAATAAGCAACAAGGAAACAAAACTAGCACTTTTTGAAAAAAAAAAAACCAAAACCGAAAACGAAAAAAACAAAAAACTATCACTCTGCCATGGATGATATGATGGTATATTTAGAGAACCCTGGAGAATCAACTAAAAAAGTAGCTGAAATAATTAACAACTATAGCAAAGTTGCAGGATATAAGATAAATCTACACATGTCAGCATTTTTATATACTACCAACAAAATCCAGCAAGAAGAAACAGAAAGAGAAATTCCATTTAAAATAATTGCAGACAGAAGAAAATGTTTGGGAGTCTACCTGCCAAGACAAACCCAGGAACTATATGAACACAATTATAAAACACTTTTCACAAGGGGGCAGCTATGTGGCACAGTGGATAGAGCACCAGCCCTGAAGTCAGGAGTGCCTGAGTTCAAATCCGGCCTCAGACCAAACACTTAACACTTACTAGCTCTGTGACCCTGGGCAAGTCACTTAACCCCAAATACCAAAAAAAAAAACCAAACCACTTTTCACACAAATAAAGACATCTAAACAACTAGAGAAGTATTAATTGCTCATGGGTAGACAGAGTCAATATGATAAAACTGACAATTCTAGCTATATTAATTTACTCATTCAGTGCCATGGCAATCAAACTACCAAAGAATTATTTTATAGAGCTAGAAAAAAAATAACAAAATTCATCTGGAAGATCAAGAATATCAAAGGAATCAATGAAAAAACGTGAATGAAGGCAGTTTAGAAATACTAGATTTCAAACTATATTATAAAGTAGAAACCATCAAAACAATCTGATATGAGCTAAGAGATACAGTGGTGGATCAGTGGAATAAATTAGATACACAATATATAGAAGTAAATGACCATAGTAATCTAGTGTTTGATAAACCCAAAGATCTAAGTTTTTGGGGAAAGAACTCGTTATTCCACAAAAACTGCAGGGAAAACTGTAAAGCAGTCTGGCAGAAAGTAGGCATAGACCAATATCTCACATCTCACATTTAGACATAAAGGGTGATATTAGAAGCAAATTAAGGGAACATGGAAAAAAAATTACCTGTCAGATTTGTGGTGAAGGGAAGAGTTTATAACCAAACAAGACATAGAGAAGGTCATGGGAGGCAAAAAAAAATTTTTTTTTGATAACATGAAATTAAAAAGGTTTTGCACAAACAAAACCAATGTAGCCAAAATTAGAAGGAAAAGTAGAAAGCAGAGAAAAATTTATAGCAAGTTTCTGTTATACAGGCTTCATATCCCTTATATAGGGAACTGAGCCAAGTTTATAACAATAAGAGCTATGCCCTAATTGATAAATGGTCAAAGGATATGAACAGGCAGTTTTCAGAAGAAGAAATCAAAGCTATCAATAGTTATATGAAAAAATGCTCTAAGTCACTAATAATTAGAAAAATGAACATTGAAATAATTCTAAAGTAATCAAATTGGTTAACGTGACAGAAAAATGACAAATCTCAAAGAAATCAAAGAAAAGGGAAAAACACCTGTTTGTACAAAAATATTTGTAACAGCTGTTTTTGTGGTAGAAAAGAATTAGAAATTGAGGGAATGTTCATCAATTGCAGAATTGTTGAACAAGTTGTGGTATTGATAGAGATGGAATACTATTGTGCTGTAAGAAATAATGAAAGAGGGTAGTTAGCCGGGGCAGTGGATAAAGCAGCAGCCCCCTCAGTCCGGAGGACCTGAGTTCAAATCCAGCCTCAGACACTTACTAGCTGTGTGAACCTGGGCAAGTGACTTGACCCTGACTGCCTCCAAAAAAAAAAATAATAACAACAATGAAAGGGCTAGTTTTAGAAATGCCTGGGAAGACTTATGTGAACTGATGCAAAATGCAGTGAGCAGAAGCAGAAGATCAATAATCAAATGTGAAAGACTTGGCTACTTTATCAATACAACCATCCATGACAATTCCAAAGGACTCATAATGAAGAATCTACTGCAGAGAAAGAATTTGTAAACTCTGAGTGCAGATTGGAGCATATTTTTTTCACTTTATATTTCTTGTTTGTTCTTTGCAACATGGCTAATATGGAAATATGTTTTGCTTCACTTCACATATATAATGAGTATCATATTGCTTGCCTTCTTAATGCGTGAAGGAGGGGCTGGGGAGAGGGAGAATTTGGAACTCAAAATTTAAAAAATGGATGTTAAAAAAATTAAAAATTAAAATAATTTCTTTTTAAAAAGCAAGGAAATCCCTCTAGAGAATGGTGATATAATCAAAAAGAACAGATAGTCTTAAGCTCATCGTTAAATGGCTTGATTAAAATATAAAATGACCAACAGTAACACATAAGAAAAATTGAGCCATGTCACAGTTAAGTAAAAACTTATTACTTACCCTTTTCACCATCCGAAATAATATCTTTCTCTCCTTTCTGAACAACCGTCAGATTCCCTAAGGCTTGGCTGAGTCTCAACACACATCTATGATTATCATTACTATCTACTGAAGTTCTAAACTACAACACAAAGGGGAAAAAAAATGAAAGAACTGATTAGTACAATGACCACAATTCCAGAAGACCAATGAAGAATGCTACCCACCACCTAACAGAGAGGTCTAAGAGGTGATAGACTAAATATGCATAATAAGACATACTTTTGGATGAGGTCAATGTTTTGCTTTATTTACTATGAATTTTTTTTGGTTCATTGTTCTTTTATAGTGGGGGAGGATAATTGAGAGGGAGATGAAATAAATACTTGTTCAATGAAAAAAATGTTTTAAATGAGGGGAAAAAAGCTAACACAAGACTGTCATAGAAAATTAATCTTGAATTATTACAAGCTTTTAAAAATAGTAAGCTTGGGAGAAACTGAGAATGGAGGCAAATATATTCTCATATACCTATTTCTTCCTTTATTAACTGTGGAGGATGGACTGGAGAGGAGAAGGTCTGAAAGCCGTGAGGCAGTGTAGCCCTCTTAAAAAAAGGATTTGTTCTGTAAAGCTTGGACTCAGTCAAAAGGCCGCACTTGAGGACCTAGAAGGCCATGTGTGACCTCGAGGCCACAGGTTCCCCACCCCACAGACTGTCAGAATTAGTAGATGTGTTAGCTGGTTCGGCTGAACTGATTTTTCTTCTCTTTTCTTAGTCTTTGCTACAGTGGATGGCTCAACAAGTAGGGAAGAAGGGAGGGATATATTTTAAAATGAAGATAAAAATCAAATATATTCCCTTTCTTTTCTAATTTTTTCTAATTATAAAAATTTTAAATAAATAAAAGTCTGCTAAAAATGTATACAGTATCACAATAATCATAATGTGAAGATTTATCCTGTCCATGATCTGAACAAAGGAATAAAAAAGCTTACTATTAAGATGTTTGTAAATGAAATTTCTCTTCTTTAAAGATGAAAATAGAATCTATCTTGTAATTAAGGATCACAGAGCTAGAAAGGACCTCCAACATCACCTGGTCTAATCCTTTCAACTTGCAGCTAAAGAGCAGCAAGTGACAGCATTGACTTCAAACCCGGGTCTGCTATATCTTGCTGCCTTCTCTCTGGTCAATGAACTTACCATGGTTTCATAGAGTCTGCTGAACTCCATATAGTTGGGTGTGAGAATTGCCCTCTGATAACCTTGAATGAGGGAAGGTTGCTGGGCAATGAGCCACAACCCATCCTGTATAAAACAATAACAGCTGTTTATCTGGCAGAATTTAAGTGGGTTCCTTAGCACAGGACAGGAAAAGCAAAGGAAAGTGGTACTTACAGCATCAATGACCACGGGAATACCCCTGACCTTGGATTTTTCTATAATGCCCTAGGAGAGAGGAAATTTACGTTAAGATACTTATGATGTTTCTTCTCCAAAGGAGCAAGAAGAAAACTTAGCATTTTCTTTTTTTTTTTTCCTAGCATTTTCTTTTTAAATGAAAGAGCCACGTTAAGGAATTTCATCTTGCTGCTGAAAACTTCTCAACCAAAAATAAGAGTCATACGGTCAATAAACCGGATGGTCCACACAGATTAAACCTCAAACCCAAAGCATTTGCAAGTGAAAATTAATATACTTGTTTAATTAAAAATTACAGAATAACTGTGGAAGTTAACTGTTCTCAAGAGGAGAAGAAAGTTTGCTGCTCCAAGCCAAGACTGCGCCAGTATTGAAGTGAATATTGTTAGTCCATCAACTTAACAAAAGAAAATGTTTAAATCAGTTATTTAAAGTTCAGAATGCCTGGTTATAAATGATGCCTATGAAAGCCTATTTAAACCCATAATGTAGCTAAAATGCTATATGTTTACAGTGATAAAGGCACAAAATGATATCTTAGCAACACTAAATAACTGAAGCAGAAAATAATAATAGAATTTTTAAAAAACGGTCTTTCTAAAAATTTATTCTCAGCGCTACTAAGGAAAGCTATGTTTAATTAGAGGAAGATAAGGAAGTAGATGAAAACTTTCATGAAGACTCAGTGCTTTTTTATTATTTCTAATTCTAATTCAAAATGTACAGTTTTCCTTTTCCTCACTATCACTTGTACTATTTTTCATACTTCTCCATCAAGATTTCAATCATTTTTTGATTCACAAGGGGAATGAAAACATGGGAGAGGGGGAAGGAAAGCATTAGGGGAAGGCAGTTTTTCCTGGATAAATGAACAAGAATTAGAAAAGAAAGGGAATATATCTGAGAAATAAAATTATCTGAAGTATAATTCACTGCATTGAAAGCAAAAATACAAGAAAAAGGGGGGGGAGAAGAATAGGCAGATTATACTCCTCAGAAGGAAGGATATGGGGGAGATGTTAGCCCAGGCAAATCCCCATATCAGCCATCACGTTAGCAGGCTTGACCCAGGACAGCACAGTACAAAATTGGGTTGCCTCTTCCATATATATGCCATCTCTTACTCCCATGTTGCTAAACACTGCTGGACAGTTAACTCAACTACACTGACTGGGTTTACTAAAAATATATGATACCTAATATCAACTGGGTCTTCACTGTTACCAGGTGGATAGAACGCTAGGGCTGGAGTCAGGAAGACCCGAGTTCAAATCTGGCCTCAGACACTTACTAGTTATGGGATCCAGAAGAAGTAACTTAACCTCTGTTTCCTTCAGTTTCCTCATCTGTAAAATCAGGAGAACAGTACCTACCTGGCAGGGTTGTAAGGATCAAATGAGATAATAATTGAAAAGCACTTGGCACAATGCCTGGCAAAGAGTAGGTACTTAATAAATGTTAGGACAACTAGGTAACACAGTGCTAGAGCAGTGGGCTTTGAATCAGGAAGACTCATCTTCCTGAGTTCAACAATGGCTTCAGATACTTACTAGCTGTCTGACTCTTGGCAAATCAATTAACCCTGTTTGCCTCAGTTTCTTTATCTGTAAAAGAAACTGGAGAAGGAAATAGCAAACCACTCCATTATCTTTGCCAAGAAAACCCCAAATGGAATTATGGAGCATTGGACACATGTTAACTATTAATATTATTATTATTAGCTTGTGACCTGGGTAAGTCACTTAACCACTGTCTGCCTCAGTTTCCTCAACTGTAAAATGGGAATAATAATGATAGCACCTATCATCCAGGTTGTTATGAAGATTAAATGAGATAATATTTGTAAAAGCACTTAGTACAGTGCCTAACACACAGAATGTGCTTGGTAAATAGTTGTTTCCTTTCCTTCTTTTTTTTTTTCCCCTAAGGCAAGTGTGGTTAAGTGACTTGCCCAGGGTCACACAGCTAGTAAGTGTCAAGTATTTGGTCTCAGGCCAGATTTGAACTCAGGTACTTCTGACTTCAGGGCTGGTGCTCTATCCACTGCACCACCTAGCTGGCCCCCCTTTCCTTCTTTCTTATATGACAATCCTTTTATTCTTACCCAATCAACTTATTCTATTTTCCACAGGAGTTGTTCCAAAGCCATTCCAAATTCCAAAGAACTCATGATGAAAAAATACTATCCACCTCCAGAGAGAGAACTGATGAGTGCAAACTGAATGTAATTTTATCACTTTAGTTTTCTTTTTAAAAAAATATATGGCTAATATGGAAATATGTTTTGCATGATTTCACATGTATAATTGATATCGTATTGCTTGCCTTCTCAGTGGGTGGAAGAAGAGGTGGGAGGAGGGGAAAAAATTACAACTCAAAATTTATAAAGAAAAGAATGCTAAAAATAAATAATTTTTTTAAAAAGAAAAAATTTAAAGCTACTTTGCTATTTTAAAAACCCTATGCCTCCTTCTTACTCCCTCACAACAGGGGCCCTCCAAGTTTGTTTCCTGGGAGCCTAATTAGCTTTTATATGGGAAATTATTAGCTTATTTAAGACTGAGAACTTCAGAGCAGACAACAGTTTAGCCTAATACTTGTTTATTATTATTATTATTATTATTATTATTATTATTATTATTATTTTGGGCAATTGGGATTAAGTGACTTGCCCAGGGTCACACAGCTAGTGAGTGTCAAGTGTTTGGTCTGAGGCCGGATTTGAACTTAGGTCCTCTTGACTTCAGGGCCGGTGCTCTATCCATGGCACCACCTAGCTACACCCTCCCCCTCAATTGATATTTCTAAAGCATAAGCTACTCTCCTATTCAAGAATTTTCAAAGGTTCTCTGCTTCCTCTAGGACAGGCCTGCACAACATACAGCCCATAGGCCAAAGGATTTCGGGTAGCCTCCTTTCTGTCCATTCTCTCCTATCTGTCACTTGACTCATGGCAACCAACCATCATCAGTCTATCTCTAGTCTAAGATGAGCAATTTTATGATAAATAAAAATCTTAAGTAATAAGTGTAATTAATTGATAATAATTGAAATTTCCCTTCCTTAAAATATGGTTTATTTGCAAAATTTAATCATTAATTTAATCATTAATTATACCTTTACTTGGAAAGTGAGCTGCTAAAAACCTATGTGAGACCCAAAGAAGTTTGGCTTATTTTAATTTTTGCCCCTACCTACTGCCAGGTTGTGCAGGTTTGCTCGAGGATAAAATACAAACTCCCTGTTTGCCATTTCAAATCCTTCACCATCTGGCAGTAGTTTACCTCTCCATTACTACACATTATTTAGTCCTTTGCGTTCAATATTGCAGCCAAATTGTTAGCACTTTATCTCTCTCCTTTTTAACTCTGTTTAGCTGTCCCCCAATGCCTGGCATACGTTCACTCCACACTTCTATCTCTTAAGATCCATAATTTCCTTCAAGGCTCAACTCATATGACACCACCAACAAAAAGTCTTTCCCAGCCTTTCTAGTTGCTGGCACTCTCTCTCTCCCCTTCAAATGATCATGGATATGTTTATCTGCTTCGACGCTTGGCAGACAGTTAAGTGCTTAATAAATCCTTGTTGAATAATTGCTGTATTCCCCTTCTCAGAGGAACATAACTTCCATGAGGGCAGAGACTATTTTTCATTTTGTCTTTGGGTCACACTAGGTCAGTAGCAGACCCTTAATAAATACTTGCTGAATTGACAGAGTAAACAATATTCTTTACGCTTAGTCTCTATTCCAAACTTCTCTACTGAGAATAAGGAAATGTGTTTCATTTGTTTTAGGGACAAAAATTTGTTCTTAAAACTATTCTTATAAGACGATGACATGTTTTTACATTCACCTTCCATTACCTGGTTTAAAAAAAAAATCTTTATCTACACATACTTTAAAAATGGATGCAGGGGGTGAAGCCAAGAAAGATGGCGGAGTGATAGGAAGCAGGGCAGTGAGTTCTCCTTCACAAACTCCTCCAATCAGATCTAGAAAACAAACCAAACTGAATCCTGATGGAGAAATCCGGAAAAAGTCACACGGATCATTTGTCCGGCTCAGCTTTGGCATAGAGAGATAGGGAGGGCTGTAGACAGTAGCGATAGGTAGGAACAAGAGTACACAGGGTACAGAACATGGCAGTCCCCAGGGAGAGGGGCACCAGGGCAAGAGGAGGTCTCAGAGACATACGCAGCCACTGTAATGGACAAGGGGGCAGCTTTGCCACCCTCTCCCCAGCTCCAGGTCACAGGTACAGGACACACTCAAAAGAGGACCTGGGTAGGGGAGTGGTGTTTGCAGGTGAGAAGGCCCTGGGCTGTGTATGGAAAAAGAAAGAAATTCAGAAGCCAGCAGCAGTAGCGGTACGGCACAAAGCAGGGTTTCAATTTCAGCATCTAACCTAACCTAGAGAGGTTAACCAGGGCAGCAATCCTAAGACCAAAGACTGGCTTCCAATTCAGTCCCTCTGGGCTAACAGAGCTTTCTAGCTAACTGACAAAGGCTGAACCAACTTCAACCCAGGTCAGGAACTTGGAGAGCTCAGACAAAGGGGCCAGCTATCAGATTCTACCCTGAATCAGACCACTTTGGGAGTGCTGAAAAACTTGCAGGGCCCCAATCTTTCCCTGAGATCCTGTAATGATACAATATTCAAGAGCCCAAGAAAGCAGCAACCGGACCAGCATAAAGCCTTCCCTCCAGAAGCGTCAGAGTCTAACCCTAACATCAAGTTTGAAAGTAAGGAAGTAGGCTAGAAGAATGGGCAAATTAAAAAAAAAAAACAAGTAAATTTAAAAATTAAAAAGTACCCCAACATAATGAGCTATTATAGTCACAGGGACACTCAAAACACAATCCCAGAAGAAAATGACAGCAAAACATCTACAAGGAAAGTCTAAGAGAAAAATGCAGCCTGAGTACAAACTCAACTAGAATTCCTGGAAGAGATGAAGTAAGGGTTAAAAAAAAAAAGAGTTAAAATGTTTTCATAAATAGAATGAGAGTGCTTGAGGAAAAA